ACTTGAACCTATATGGGATACGATATGCATAGTAAAGACTAACTTTATTTATTCATATTGGATTCAATTTCAAGGGAGCTACTATCACTATGAACTATAGCGGATTATAATTTCGTTTTATTGAACAATGCCTCGTTAATATTAAGCTTCGTTCATTGAAAAAAAAAAAAAATACGGAACCGCAATACAACGATTTAATTGTAAACTCTGCGATATTTAATTAGTAGAACTCTGGTTCCAAGAAAAAACTCCGTACTAAGATATATCGATGAACTGTTATAATCGACTTTCACTTTAAAGTTTAAGAATCTTCATCATTTTTGCAGAAAAAGCAAGATGTTTATTATTGTCGTTATATTCTTAGCCTTTCGCAGCACAAAACTCCGGACGAGGCGATAAGGTATGAATATTTTTTCAGACGTGGCTGTACATTTGCAAGGAAGCAACTTCTGGACTTGCAATCCTTCGTTCAATCAGAATTTGGTCAATTTCAGCATGACAAATACACATATTCGCACAACAGATGATGTTAAGGCATGAGTCACCGGGCAACAAATTAGATTGGTCCTCTCAATGGCCAGATTCGAAACAACTCGCATAACTTTCTTCCCTCTAGTATATTTTGCTACTGTTGCATATTACAGATATGGTTTGTCAATACTATTCTGCTTCGAGTTTGTAAACATTCAATTTATGCGTTAAGAACAGTGTGATGCTGATTTGGGGCGTGATCGAATTACTCGTATAGTTATTTACTTTTTATTTTTTGGTTGGGCTCACGTTTTTTCCCATGATTTGGTGTCCAAGGACCTAAGCTGTCATTTGCATAGAAGTCCATAGGATAGGATTTTTGCCACTCTACAGACTCCAGTGCAACTGATACTTCATATGGATTTAGCAAGGGTTTGGTGAATGCATAGCCCCAATCAATAGAAAGTCTGGGGCAGGCAATTTGAATCCATCTATCAAAATTATAACATTATACGAGTCTTATTAGCATTGTTATATAATTCTGATTCATCCAACATTTAGCTCTTCAAACTTACGCATCTATATCTGTGAATTGTGTCAACTTATCGGGGAATATCTCAGACAGTAGCACACAAACATATGGTATATTTTTTGAATTTAGTCTCTCTTCAAGGTGCTATATCACAGCATAGAATATTAATGAATGCATCTCGTATGTCCGTCGCAATAAATTTGACCACTGTTGATTGATCGTAAATTACCTCCATGACTTTGGGGCTTCCTTGTCTCCCCAATGTTCCCAGGATTAGGCCAAACTTTTTGGCTTTTTTGGCAATTTCAATAGCATGCTTACGTAAGGAATGCATATCAGCATGATCATAATATTCACGGGTAAACTTCTTTGAGTACGGGTCGTACCTACGTAATTGCCATAACATGCTGACATATCACTCTTATTACCGGATAAATCAATGCAGAATACATACCGAAAGGCAGGAACGTCCGGATTTGCTATCATAATAGATTCGAGGTGAAACCTCCCATCACCAAGATATCTATGTCATATAGAAATAAATGTTATAGTGAGTAAAGTATTTTACGTTATAATACATATTTATTAAACTTCATACATTAAGGCATCCAGTTTGTCCAACTTCGGCGAAGTACATCCAAGGATTTCACCAGGAGAAAGAGGTTTAGATTGTGGGACAACAAGTTTATAATCTTGCTCGAGTACTCTCTTAACAGCCTTATTATATGATATAAATTATATAACGCGTTCAAAATGGTCCACTTTGATATAGCTATGTAAGATGCTTACGTGTATTGAGGAGACAAATTGCACGGTACCAACAATAGCCAATTCTTTCCCTGCCTCAAAATTCTTGCAGATGGTATCAATAAAATGTTGAGTATCTATTCCAATATCTACGAAGACGTACAAAGTCTTCACTGTGGTTACGTCCACAGGTACTGCCATAATGCAATAAGATTTCAGCATTTGCAAAGTCGTGAATATATTCTTCTTGAATCAAAATACAAACTTAGACAGCTATGCCCGTAATGAACCATAAAATCACATTCTAGAGCTTTCGCCGTAAAATCATCGATGCAGCATGCACCATACGTGACATCACCCATGATTAATGTCTCTACTCCACAGAATTGCTCGAGAATGTCTGCAATTATACAGGCAAACATAAGAAGACCTTCGGGAAGTTGAAGAGCAACTAGAAGAATTAACAATTGTTTAGTATTATTAAGCTTTGGGGCTAGACTGTATGTATGTAGCCAGAAAAATCGTTACCTTTGATTGCATTTGATTGCTTGACATGCCAGATTGTCTTATGAAGCTCGAAATTATAATTCGAGGGAAGCTAGTATTGAATTTTAGAATAAATTTTGTGCAGAGTAGTGTATGCACACTTTGTTTATTACCAGTCTATTACTCACAAAAAGAAAGTATTGACTAAACCTGTTCAATGGCTTTATTTAGAAGGGGGTCATCGAGTATCTCAGTAGGAATTTGGTTGACAGCTCTGTGTCGTCTCGGTGGCGTCTCGCGAACTTATCAGGAGTTCAATACGCAGTGAGCTTTCCATCAACGGTAACATTTGCGTACGTTGAAAGAAGCTCCCGAATCTGTTATATATCTATCGAAATGCACGTCTATTTTTAGGGAATGTGTAAATACCTAGCGTAATACTATCTTCAATATTTCCCACATGACTCTCTTGTAAGTTCTCCCGTTCTCGTATTTTCTTAGCATTTGCCCGGCCTATAAAACGTTTCCTTGGCTTTGTTGGGGTTGAATTTGACATTGTTGTATCGCATATTCCTTTACGAGAATGTTATAATAGTTTGAGGTCACGTGTTAGAAGTTTCAGCCGATTTATGCAGACGCGTGTTTCACTTGTTAAGTATTCCGCGTACAATATACAATATAGTATTGGTATGGCAGGAAAATACTCGACGAGTGTCCAGCAAAGAATACAGCTTGAAGAAGAACTTGATCTTAAGTTAGGGTTCGACAAGTACGATCATGGGCAACCACGAATAGGGTGGTTATTTAATATGACAACTGTAAGGCGAGTTATTATGATAATTGGTTTATTATGATTAATACTAAATCACTATTACGTTAGACTATGTTGGAAGATAAGAAAAACATTCGTGGAAGGTCAGCCGTAAAATATCACTTTTTTGAGGAGGATGGTACTCTCTTCACATGCACACGTTTTTATAACCCTTATTTCTACTTGAGGTGCAAGGTAATGATTTTATTTGATATAATCCGCTTTTCTAGCTTTCTTCAATTAATACGTTATTTGCGTCTAGGATGATAAGCACGCAGAAGTTGCCTCTGCTTTAATGAAAATGTTTGATAAATTAATTTATAAAATAGTTGAAGAGCACAAAAAACAAGATTTAAAAGAGGTAGGATTAAATATTTTTCGTTTAATGATGATGAATAAGTTTCTGACATGCCATTTAATCATAGGCAAATCATCTTGTTGCGTCCTGTCATACGTTTCTAAAACTCATTTTTCGCAATGTACAAGACTTGGTTGACGTGCGAAATCACCCGCTTTTAAAGAATCATAAAGATATTGTTGAATTAAGAGAAAATGATATAATTTATTACCAACGAGTCTCGATGGATAACGGCACGTATTGATATATGGATATATTGCTTGTGTAAAAGGCCGTGCTGACGCGATATCCTTGAATTTACAGATATTCGGGTTGGGATGTGGTACGCAGTAGAGGCTGTTGCTGGAGAAGACGGTGTCAATATCCAGATGACACCCATTCATGAAAGAGGCGATCGCCCTGATCTGCTTGTGTTAGCTTTCGATATAGAAACAACAAAGCTGCCTTTGATGTTCCCTGATGCAACGAGAGATATGATAATGATGATTTCATACATGATCGATGGAATGGTCGGTATTTGTGGGATATATCTTATATAATCTACTTTGGTGTCATTGCAATTTGACCTTAGTCTTTGATAGGGGTACCTAATTATCAATCGTGAGGTGGTAGCAGAAGATATCGAGCCATTTGCTTACTCTCCCGATAGGGACATGATAGGGGAGTTCAAGATATTCAACGAAAAGAGCGAGGTATCGGCATTGTTACAGTTGTGCAATTGTGATCCCTCGTCAGCATTGGTATTAATATCGAGCATTTTTAGAGGACGATGTTACAACGGTTTTTTAAGGAAATTCGGAAATATAAACCGAATATTATTGTAACTTACAATGGCGATAACTTTGATTGGCCGTTTGTCGAACGAAGGGCACACGAATATGGAATTAACATGCGCTCTGTATGTGATTTATAATATGACATTTAATTAATATCGTCGTAATTTATTGCTAATGGTTGGAACGTACGCGTATAGGAAATAGGATTTTACCGCTTTGATGAATACTATATTAGCAAGCAGTGTGTACACATCGACTGTTTACATTGGGTTAGAAGAGATAGCTATCTACCTGTCGGTAGTCAAGGTCTCAAGGCCGTGGCTAAAGCCAAGTTAGGATATAATCCCGACGAATTGGACCCGGAAGTTATGACTAGGTATTGTCGCAGCCTTCGTTCTCATAAATTTAGCAATGAACAATGACTTATACATCTTATGAATAGATTTGCGGTTGAACAGCCACAGGCATTAGCCCAATATTCGGTCTCTGATGCTGTAGCAACTTATTATCTATATAAGAAATACGTCCATCCATTTATTTTCTCGCTATGTAACATTATCCCGCTTAATCCTGATGATATATTGCGCAAAGGATCCGGAACTCTGTGCGAGGCACTGTTGATGGTAAGGCATTTGAAGGATACACGCCCTATAACTACAACTGTTCACAATAATTTCAATATGTACAGGTATCTGCATATAAGGCAGATATAATGATACCACATAAACATGGAGATGAACTTCACAAGTTTACTGCAGGTGGACCAGACGGGAAACTTATCCAAAGTGAGACGTATGTGGGGGGGCATGTGGAGGCATTGATGGCTGGTGTTTATCGGTGTGATTTACCCGTCGATTTCACTATTAGTTCTGATGGCATTGACAAAGTAAGCCTTTTTATCGCTGCTTAACCATGTGACAATTGTACTGCTAAGTTATTATACATGTGGCCACATAACTAATAAAATTTTGATGACTGTGACAATAGCTTATCGCCAGTGTGGACAAAACACTCCGATTTGGTATCGAAGCAGAGGCAGAAAAGAATCTGGACGAGATTGCCGATTATGAAGAAGTAAGCATAATTACCCATTGCATCCTTCCTTTTTCACATGATTAATTATCATTAACAAAACAATAGGTCAAACAAAGCGTTATAACAACACTTGAAATTATTCGTGATAATAACCCTGTTTTGCGAGCGGAACCTCTGATATATCATTTAGATGTTGCCGCCATGTATCCAAACATCATATTAACTAATAGATTACAGCCCGATTCAATAGTTAACGAGAATGTCTGTGCAAACTGTGATTTTAATATCCCAGGAAAGACATGTGATAGACGCATGAAGTGGGTATGGCGTGGTGAGGTATGGCCTACAGACCGAGGAGAATATAAGAGTATTCTAGATCGATTAGAAAGCGAATCGTTTCCAGGGAAGACCTCGATTGACTCGAAGCGTAATTGGCATCAGCTTGCAACGAGTGAACAGGCAAAATATATACAGGAACGCCTTGGACAGTATTCTTTGAAACAATACAAGAAGAAAAAGGAAACTATGTCCGAAGAAAGGGAAGCGATAGTTTGTCAGCGCGAACGCCCATTTTACGTAGATACAGTACGCGAGTTTCGTGATAGACGATATCAATACAAAAGTTTGCTTAAAACTTCTAAACAAAGATTAGAAAATGCAATCAAGAACCGCGATGTATCTGAGATTGAGACGGCCAGGCAAGAAATTATTCTGTATGATTCATTACAACTTGCTCACAAGTGTATTTTGAATTCATTCTATGGATATGTCATGAGGAAGGGAGCCCGATGGTATTCTATGGAAATGGGGGGTGTTGTATGCTTAACAGGGTCATCTATTATTCAATCTGCTAAGGAATTGGTAGAGCGAGTCGGCGCTGCTCTCGAACTGGATACCGATGGAATTTGGTGTATCTTTCCGAAAACATTCCCCGAGAATGTCACGTTCACGTTGAAGGATGGGAAGAAGCTAAATGTTTCGTTTCCATGTGCAATGCTCAATCAAATGGTTCACGAACGATACACGAATGAACAGTACCAAGAACTTGTCAATAAAGAAACGCATGAGTATAAGACAAGGAAAGAGAATAGTATATTTTTTGAAGTCGACGGACCTTACCGTGCAATGATACTACCTGCTTCAACTGAAGAAAACAAATTGTTAAAGAAGAGATACGCAGTCTTTAATCATGATGGTAGTCTTGCAGAACTAAAGGGATTCGAGGTAAAACGACGGGGTGAATTGAAACTTATTAAAGTATTTCAAGAGCTTGTGTTTGACGCGTTTCTGCGGGGTAAAACGCTCGAGGACTGTTACCAATCAGCAGCAGAAATCGCAAACGCTTGGGTGGACATTCTCGAGAGTGAAGCAAGGGATCATCCAGACTGGTACTTGATTGATATGATATGCGAGCAAAAAAGCATGTCTCGTTCGCTGGAGGACTACGGTGAACAAAAATCGACGGCAATTACAGCAGCAAAACGTCTTCAGGAATTTCTGGGTGATAGCATGGTGAAAGACAAAAAGTTGACATGTAGGTATATTATTTCGAAGCCTCGAAGTAAAGATGATGATGTGAGTCAACGTGCTATTCCAATAGCGATTTTCTCCGCAAGCAAAGAGATTAAAACGGCATGTTTGAAGAAATGGCTGCGAAATACCAATATCGAAGGGGATATTGACATTCGAGATATATTGGATTGGGATTATTACAAGAAAAGACTTAATGCAACCATTCAAAGGCTAATTACAATACCGGCTGGCTTGCAAAATATTGTCAACCCCGTTCCTCGCGTGTCGAATCCAACATGGCTATCGAAAAGGTCTCAGGGCGATAGACAGCGACTTATTACATCCTTCTTTGCTGAATCATTTCCTGTTGGTCTAAATTCACACAAAATGGAGGTTGATTGTATAGAGAACAATGACGAGAACTTCGGACAAGAAATAAATGAAAACGAAAATGATAGGGCTTGCCCGGAAGAAGGTATCCCGGAGCTTGCTGATGATGTAGTCATTATTGCTCAAAGTGAAGACAGTATTGGTCCGAAGCAAACGATAGCTGAAGTGAGTAGCGAACTTAGGATGAAGCGTTTCGCTGATGATCGCTATGAGACTTCTCAGAGAAAACAAGTTAAAACAACTCACGGGAAGCAGGGCATCAACAGTGATTCTGCGACAGACAATTCGGTAAATACGTTGCGACGTAAGTTACGTAAACCATCTAACGTCTTTGACAAGATAACGAAGAAACCTTTTTCAACCACGACGAATAATAAGCCTTACGTTCACCAGAATATGCAAAGATTTCGTAAGAACGGTGATCCTTTCACGAATTATAGCGCATGGATCAAGGGCGTTTGTAAACGGCGCACTGCATTTAGTGACTGGAAAGTGATTCATGTTGTCGAAAGTGACGTTCATGGTGAGCTAACAAAATGGCTTTCCGATGGATTCTCTATGCGGCGAAGACGAGTTAAAACTAAAGATAATGAAAACACGAACAGTATAGGCTTACCCTCGGAGATCAATCACATAATTGATTTAGAACGTAGCAGAAAGCATTTAAATGGGAATGAATTTGATTACTTGTACCTTAATCATACAATGCTCGATGATGACCATCAGATGTTCGCCGTCTTTTCGTCCTTCTCGGACGATGCCATGATATTTAGCATCGACAATTTGAGAGAGACTTCGATTTGGGAAAGACTATATGCGCAAGTGTATCACACGTTCGAGGAAGATTGCCCGGAAGTTCTCCAGGGCAAAAACAGACTTTTCGTTTATTCTCAGAAGCTAACTTTCGACGTAACGTATTATAGGAATGTCAAGCAAACTTTAACAAGTATATCCAATCAATTGTCTTATTGCAAAGAACAACAAACACGGCCCACCATCGTGATCCTTCAATCACCGCTAGCTCTCAGAATTTTGGCGGCTGATTTAACTGCACTCAGGGACTTTCCAGTCCTGTGCTTACAACCAGACATGTCAGATTTGCAGATTTCCGTTGATTGGAGGAGACAGAATGCACGCAAGGCGATAACCAGTTTTTTGAGTCTTGGAGCCTTATTAACTGAGCGATTTGAAATATCTCGATATGCCAATGTTCCCGTTTGTAACGTTGGCGATGATTGGACAATATTTTGTTTAGACGTATTTTTGGCACAACGGTTAAAGAAAAGAGGACTTGTTGATTGGCTATTTTCTGATCAGAGGATGTCTACGTGGCAGCAAACCAGTGAAGATAGCTTACGTACCGGAAAGCAATTCACAGATGCTGTAGTAAATGCGCCAGGTGTTTATACTACGATATGTGTAGCAATGGATGTGCATAATTTGGCAATTGACGCTATATTTGCGTATGGTTTGGATAGCATACCTCATGTTGCAGCCCATAAAATATTACCAATAGTTCGTGATATGCTACGAGAATTGCGTGCCAAAGCTAACCCCGGAGAAATCCAGTTGACAAACAAGTTGTTTAATAATTTTGGACGATGGGTTACTACTCGTAGATCTGCCATGTATGACCGCCGGCTTGATTATGCGGTACATTATTTGATGTGTAAGGCAGTGAAACAACTGGCAGCTGAGTTCTCTGATGTTGGGTGTACCGTTGTACATGCTGACATCTCAAAACTCGTGCTTGCGACAAAAAAGACAACGCTTGAGAACGCGCTTCCTTATATCAATCAAGCGGAGGATATTGTTTCGAAGAAGTCTGTATTTAAAAACCTCAAACTACATAGAACTGACTATTGGATATATATCCAATGGCATGACCTACATAACTACGGCGGCATCTTAATTACTAATAAGAATTTGCCTGCAGTTGATATGCATTGGATTATTGCTGAATATCTCCCTCATCAAGTACGGCAACAATTTAATACAATCATTACTGCATATATCAAGATGGCATGGCAACAACATAGTAAACCGATGAGACAGAGTGCATCAGTTATTGAAATCTTTAAGAAGATGTTATTGAAAGTTATGGATAATTTTCATAAAGAAGAGCATAAATTCGAGTTCCCGCGTATACCAGGGTCACCATTTGCTAAATCGACGAGACCTGCAGCTGAGTTTGCGAATGTTATATGTAATATTTTTGCTGTAGATGAAGAATTAAAACTTGAAGTCATGGATCTGCGTAAGAAATTAATGAGTATTACGAACGTGAGTGCGCATGCTCAGCTAGCAGGGCCTATTAGGGGATTCGAACTCGTCCGCATTGATTGTCGTGGGTGTTATGCCAGCCGGAATTTAGATTTTGCTCGTGATTCTGACCTCGTGTCTGAAGAGAGGAAAGCATCATGGAGTTGTACTCAGTGCGGCAAGGATTATGAAAGGTGGAGGATAGAAGGAGCGCTCGTTGAGCTCGCTCATAATTGGTTGTCTGGGCGTCAAGTCGGAAGAACACGAGAAGATGATCGGTTTTTGCAATGGCTTACGGATTTAGCGGATTTGCATCAAATGAAATTATTGGAAGAAGTCGTGGGATTTGTCAACAATCATTTGTAATATGCATAAAATACATTATGTAAAATTTCTATGTTCATGGTTATACTTTTGAGAAATGAATTTGAATCTTAAGTTGTACTGGTTATACGTTTAATTGTCATTCTGATTCGTCGATCTACCGAAGTTACACAACACATACGCGGTAAACAATGGTGTGAGATTTATAAATAGGCTCCAAAATACTTTGCGCTAGTGTACGCGCGCAATTACAATGGAAGAAGTTGCGAAACCGCCCATAAGGCAAACGGAGTTAGTTGTACGTCCCAGCTTCGGAAAAGTGGGACGGCCTGTAAACGTTCGCGTAAATTACTTCGAGGTAGTCAGTCTACCCGGTAAGAGAACGTCTGTGGGGCGCAAGTAAAAGTTTTTAAAACGCTCAACCTATCAACTAACTATTGATACTTGTCTTCGTTCAGACGGAAACATACATCAGTACGATATCGATATCAGTCCCGACGTACCACCCGCCTTAAATAAACGTGTTTTCCAAGTTCTTGCCAGCGACAAGCTTGGAGATGTTAAAGCTGTTTATGACGGTAATCGCCCAACATATTGATAATAGGAGTATGCAGTATCCTAGTTTTATTTAATGAGATTTGGTTTACTTTAGGGCGGAAAAATGTCTATACGCTTAAAGAATTTCCTTTCAAGGATACTTTAACAGAAACCGTAAGTGATTAAAATGTGCTTTGTGTATCTTCCGATGCATCTTAGTTCTCAAACGTCTATTTTAGGTCACCCTCCCCCCGAATAATGCCATCAGAGGGTCAAGCAGGCAACCGCCTACAAATTTCACGGTGAAGTTAAAAAAAGTAGCCGCCAAGAATCTTGAAGAAGCCCTGCGTTATGTCAGGGGCGAGAGCGCCTGCTCTAACAACATAATAACAGGCATGATTGTATTATAGTCTAAAATTGCTTGGCAACTTTTTCGATAGTCTCATATCTGTCTATCTATCTAAAATAGCGATAAGTGCGCTGAACGTATTAATCAATTACGTACCCGCGAGTAAGTTCAGACCCGTTGGACGTAGAGCGTTTTATACCAAAGACGGAAGCGTATCCTTGTCAGGCGGTGTAGAAGTCTGGCCAGGATACTGGCAATCACTTCGTCCCGGTCAAGGTGTGTCAAATTATTGAACATCAATGATAAGTATAGAGTCGCGATTATTGAATGCTTAATTACTTAAAGGTCTTTTATTCAACTGATAGGGCGCTATTTCATAAATTTTGATATATCGGCAACAGCATTTTACGAAGCAGGTTTTCATGGAATTTCTTAATTGATTTTGATTAACGTTTGACTACATTTTTTTTAGCAACATTCAATGTATGTGATTTTTGAATAAATCGCTAGATCTATTAAACCGTTTTTATCTTGATACTCGTCCTTTAGGTAACGCGGCAGAAATTTTAGTCAAGCTCCTTAAACGATCCGGAATAGAAGACTTCCGACGTGGTTTGACCCGAAGAGACCTTGTAATCGCCCAAAGGTTTTTCAAAAACTTGAAGTTTCGCGTTAATCATCGAGGGGCGGATTTTCAACGTCGCTATAAAGTGAAAACGATTACCGAAACGCCGGCCAATCAGACCGAGTTTATTATGACAGACGAACGAAGACACAACATAGCCTCGTATTTTGCGGATCGCTATAGAAGGCTTCTGTATCCATTCTTACCTTGCCTCGTAACTCCGAATGGGGCAAACTTTCCTCTTGAAGTTTGTAAAATTGAGGAGGTTTGTGTCCAAGTATAAAAAGTGATAATGCTAGTAATTGGATCTGTTATTTTACAAGCTCTTTATTTCTTCAGGGTCAGAAGTATCTTCGAAAATTAAACGAAGATCAAACTCGCGAAATGATAAGATTTACTTGTCAGCGTATGTATTCATCATGGCTTTACTACAGATATCGCAATAGCTGACATTTTTATGAATTAGCGCCTTCCGTGCGCGCTGAAAGAATCCAAAAAGGCGTAGACGTTATTTTCGATGAGAATGAATTTTGCAAGACATGGGGCGTAAAATTGTCTCATAAAATGATTCAGACGGAAGCAAGAGTGCTTCCCCCACCTAAAATTACCTACCATCCGGTAAGCAAAGTTTTGGAATATTACTCATAATATCGCGTATGTTGATGTATTCTTACTGCATTTTAGTCCGGACGAGAGGCAGTATTCGTCCCCAAAGGTGGACAATGGCAATTAGGTCCACAAAAAAAGGTATGTCGTATTCGATGTGAACTTATTCTTTTATTTTTAACAATATTTATTATATATGTGAACGTCGCTAGATGTTAAAAGGGGAAACCCTCGAGTGCTGGTCAATAGTTGTTTTCGGAAACGAGCATCAAGTTCCGAGGCGACTGATAAATGATTCATTACGTGCACTTTGTGACACGATGACAGAAAACGGTGAGAATTAGATAACAATTGGATGATAGATCCGCAAACATATGGCCTGACTTCTTAACAAATACTCGGCTTGAATTATAGGCATAAACGTTAGAAATCGAGAGCCGGTGATATTTTACGCTAATCCTCAAGGGGACATAGCAAATGCCTTACAAAGAGCTTATCAAGAGACTGGTAAGCAAAGCGGAAAAAACCCGCAGTTGCTTATGTGCGTTCTGCAAGGACGTTCTGTCTTATATGAAGAGATTAAGCGCATAGGTGATACTATTATTGGTATTCCAACACAGGCAAGTATTAACATTGGAAAGTATTCGAGATGGAACGTCTTGGCAACGTATTACACAGCTCTTGTTTATATATTTTAATATGCTCATTCTAGTGCGTTATGAAATTTACGCTTGAAAGAAAAATGAACAAGCAAACGGCTGGCATGCTCGGCCTAAAAATAAACGTCAAATTGAATGGAAGCAATATGGCGTTATATAGCGGCTCTTTAAAGTTTATTGAAGAAAAGCCGGTAAGTATTCATCATCGTCAGCGTTAGTCGTCAAAACGTAGATTATTAAAACGTATTTTTACGTTTAAAGACAATTGTCTTCGGCGCTGATGTGTCGCATCCCGGACCGGGTAAGTATTAATAATTACTCTTTTTCTTGTATCTCTCGATAATGTAACAATTTTCTTCCATGTAAGGATCCGACATGCCCAGTATTGCGGCAATCGTTGCTTCGTACGACCAAAACGTGACGAAATACGCAACATCAATAAGATTCCAGCAGTCTCGTGTCGAGGCGATAGTTGCGATTGAGGACATGGTGATAGAGCTTTTGAGGATTTTCCACCGCACTACAAAGCGAAAACCTCAGCGGATATTATTCTATAGAGATGGAGTCGGCGAAGGTCAGTACGAAGATGTCGTGAAAAATGAAGTTGAAGGCATCCGCAACGCGTGTAGAAAATTGGAATCGACGTATAACCCAACCATAACGTTTATTGTTGTCCGAAAGAGACACCATACACGGTAAGTTAAATTTTATCACATAAAGCTTCTTCGTAATTTACAATGATTAATAGACAAACTGGTTCGTCTCTTTAGCATGTTTCCCGCCAATCGAAGTGACGTTGATAACAAGTCGAATAATTGTCAAGCCGGTAAATAATCTGACGATATTTATATTTGTTCGCAATATCAATGCCGCAACTAAACGCTTTGATATAATACAGGGACGGTGTTGGAAAAGCCTGTCGGCCATCCATTTGAGTTCGATTTCTGTAAGTAAAGCTGTATAGAAATTGTATGTGTTATTAATGGCCCATACTAACTTTAGGACATTATAGTTTTATTGTCTCATCCTGGCCTACAAGGGACATCGCGCCCGACTCATTATCACGTATTGGTCGATGGTATGTTAGTCTTTATTGTTCAATATATTTTTATTATGTCTTACGGATGGATTCCCACTTACTTTTTTAATGTTAATACAGATAATAATTTTGACGCTGACAAATTGCAGACGCTTACGTACAATTTGTGCTATTTGTTTGCGAGATGCCCGCGAGCAGTATCTGTGGTTTCTCCTGCATATTATGCACACTTGGCCGCATTCCGCGCAAGGTAAGAGAATGCGAACAGTCAGTTTGATGATGGCAATAACTAACGAAACATTCTGTCTCTTAGATTTTGGCGCAAAAATCCGATCATGTCCGATTCCGCAAGTATCAATACAGATAGCAGCGTGGGAATCGAAGATTATAGACAAATGCATCCCAAGTTGAAGAACTTAATGTTCTTTTTGTGACAAAGTTGGTTTGTTTCTGTTCATATCTTCCTATAAAGGAAGGTAACTTAGTGTTTGAGGTTAGATTGACCAAACCAATCCTGCGTATTTTGATGTAACGTGGAATAAATCAAAGATTGTTTGGGCTACTTCCAATACTTGATTATTCGCTGTGTACCCAAACAACAACTACCAAAGCACTAATGTTATTTGGCTAACAAAAGGTTGATTGTGCTGCAGGTCACACATCGATCTTTGGTAGAAATTCCAAATCACAAATTGGTTCGAGTATTATATTAGATAATTATACGAATTAATCATGTATACACATACCCCTAATTGGTGGTATTTTTTCAGTCCTGTTATCTGCAGTTCGATGGCAGTATTTAAATTTCAATACTTTTGGCTAGTATGTGTAGTTTGTTATCTTAACATTATATAAGCTGTAGTTGAATCTTAGCATTCGAAATGTTCAGCGAATATTAGTCGTAGTCTTCTCTTGTTAATCGTTGGTTTGGCCAGATGCTATTAATCACATGTGCATCGCTTAATAACGATAAGGCTTGTGAATATAGTAGTTCCAATGCCATGCGCAAGCACGATCTAAGGCGTCAGTAAATTGTATAAATTCGGGAAAAGTTTCAAGAAATGGATAGTTCACCGATGCCCGTGTGTTTGGATACCGATAATATTCGCTTAGCCTTAAAATTGACGCGATTATTGTGACAAAGGATTGTTGGAAATTTCTGTCATTCGTAAGTAGGGAATTTTTCCCGAAGAAATTTGCCAGTATTTTCTTTATTACAGACGGAATCATCTTCGACAACTTTCGCCATAGCTTCATGCTAATGGCTCTTAACAAAGAATGGAAGAGTGCATTAACGTTATAGACAATTCAAATAAATTTGTGGCAAGCTGCCTGCATTACGCGAATGCTGTCAGTAATGAAGCTGAAATATGTTACTATGGCGATTAGTAGTGATGCATTTTTTTTGTCTAGTATTATTTTTATGCCTTTCAGCTATGTATAGGATCAAATGTCTACGTTTTCAGGTGAATTGTGACTTCTACTTTTCTTACGTAATAATAAAGATTCCCGCAGATTATGGAATACCATTATAAATCTACATGTAAATTACAAGTACCCTCAAATGATGGAAGGTACTCAGCTACCAAATTCAACAGTCACAGCATAACAATCCAGTATCTCTTTCATCAAGGAAATTAAATAGAATATTGAAATCAAAATAAGAAGAAAGAATGACAACTCGCGGCAGCATAACCAATGAACCGGAGCCATCCAGATTTGTTTCCTTTTTTTTGTATAGCTAGTGTGCACTCATATCTCATAATTCCTCTGCAAGTAAGAAAGATTCTGCTCGATTGAGCTCCTTTTTGATAGCATCAATCTCAACGCTTAGTTCATAACCTCTCCGTATTCGATCGGCAATAGGTCCAAATTTTGTCTCCACCTCCTTGCTAATGCTCGAGTGTTTCTGTTGGTCGCCTGCAGCTTCCTCCAACTTATCTATTATCTCAAAATACCATTGCTCATGAACTATAGCTGAATCCCAAATGTTCTTATATTCATTATAGATTTCGTCAAAATGATCGATCAGTTTATCGTACTCGTCTCTGCTATTTATAGTTTTCCAATACTTATCGTATGCAGATTTCTCGGCTGCTTCCATTTCTTCTCGGTTTGCTCCGGTTTCCAGCCGCTCGATGATGGCTTCATAACGTTGCTGCTTTGTCTTATTAGTTCTCTTCTTTGTATTGGAAATAGGCAGAGGTTCAACCTCAACCTCAACCGTCCGTCTTCGCTTTCCTTTCTGCTCTTGTGAAACATCGTCAGAAACATCGACATCGAATACGCTCTTTCTGTCTTCCGGTTTGGCAAACTCAACAGGCAGTTTGCCCTTAGATCTGAGATGCTCCTGGAAAATGCTCCAGTGACTGCTATCTTTTCGCGGGAGAAGATTCCGCCACTCAGGAGCATCCAGAGCAAGACCTAGACCATCAAAGGCTTTGATCATATTATCGATAACTCGTATTCTCCTCCTGTGCTCATCTTGCCAATCCGGCCATTCATGGACCTTGACTTCTTTGAAAGCCTCGTTCTTCAACTTCCACTTGCCGCCATTTCTTGTGCCAATCTACACAATTTTGGATGAAATTAGATGACGTATCCTGCTATGCTATATAAGCGTCTGGTCCAATTTTCATTGATTGCGATCGATAGTGAGTTCATCCCCGTACCATATAACATAACATTTAAACTGATCCTTACTTCTTCCAATACCGACATACACAAGTCCTTTGGAGCCGCTGCTCGCTCCATGATTTCTTGGATCCCCCGTTCACCTAATATGGCCAGATCGTGCAATATCTTTGAGCGCACCAATAGAAAATCTTGAGAAGATGCGGATGAGAATGTCGTTTGCGCGGAAGCCTTGACTTTTGATCTACCCGCCATCGTTTTCTTCGTCGCTGATACAGTATTTCCTGAATGATCGACTACTTTTATTCTGTAGAGGCAAAAAGTTAGACATCGCTCTCGAGGGCTTTCAGACGATTTCAGACGTCCTTACCTCCCCTTTTGCTTCTGTTTCTTCTCTCTTTCAGTTGCAGCCCTAAGTTTTCTTATGGCAGCCTCAGTAGGATGTCCTTTCGGCTTTGCTCTTGCTGTTACTGCGCCCACATACATTAGTTGTTTGCGGGTCGTTGGCTTCGTTGGCTTCTTCATGTAAATTCTCTCTGAGATCTGATCGTTCTTTTCGCAAGTAAACTCGTATGTATGATCACCTATTATAAACTATTAGACACGCTATATTATTAGACGAGATATTAAACTTCTTGAAAAGTCTGCTAATACAAATTAATTGTAGATACTTAAAAACTCATTGCCCTTTGTGAATTTAATCGAAAGTTTGTTGGTTTTGGTGCTTCCCAGTTCACGCATGACATCTTCGGAAAGCACACACAATATTACTGTCTTTTGCACCTTGGCACTTGTCAAGGTGTAAGTCCCTTGAGATGTCATTATTCGCTATGAATGGATGTGGAATTTAGTCAACGGATATGTGGGAAGTAACAGTAAATTTCGGCAATAAAAGTATTGGCATCGGCTTGTAACACAAGCTGTTTACAACTTTTAAGGAACAATCCCATAAAAGATTATGTTCTATTATAGAGGTGTTCTCTTATAGAGTTTATTCATTTACTAAGATTCGTCCAATGATAAAACGTTATGAGCTGTTCCTTTATAGAGGGTTCTTTTATAGAGGTTCGACTGTACATGAATCATAGGGTAATGTCAGCAGTTTTGGTTAATTTAAGCAATGACAGCTACGAAGATTAGTTTATTCCGTTTAAGCATTTTTATTATAAAACTAATTCATTACGGGCGTATACAAACTTCTCACGTCTGATCATCGGCTCGCCGACGTTTCCGAGCTGACGTATCGGCTTTTTTAGACTCGTTTCTTTGACTCCTCTTAACCTGATCAAAGAATTGTCATTAGCTGTTCATTATCTCCTCAAGGCTTCTTTTATAGATTACACCTACCTTATCTTTCGATGATCCTAGCCCTTGTCGCTTCACTAATACTTTCATGAAATCTTTTGGCAAATAATTCTTAACCATTATCTTTTGATAAAAATATGATTACATTACATGAATGTTCGCTTCTTAATTTAAGGCAGTAGTCATCATTGGCATTACCTCAGCAGCGGCTGGTGCGTCAAGAAGGGGACGAAACATATCTTTCGGTAGCGCAACTTGATTCGGAAATGATAACAGCGTCCACGAAGATGCTTTGCATCTCTCTCGAATCAGATGTTGTGCTAAATCACTGAGTGTATATAAATTCTACGGAATATGAGAAAATTAGAGATATTCCATACATATTTGCAGGCAATTGCACCTTCCTTACATCACTTTTCACCGACGGGTCAATATCTTGTACTTGCTTCAACCGACCGACAATATAATACAGAAATGACATATTGTCCGCATTGGCCATGGTATCAAGGAAGAAATCAATATACCTGAGCCATGGTAAACGTTTGCGAGATATTAGCAGAGATTAATTATTGGATTTATGTATTATCACATATATCTTGCTTACTTCATAGCATCAATAAGATCTTTAATCTCACAGGAGAAATCCGGATGATGAGAAAGTAGATATATAAGACGAACTAGTGCCATTTCGAACATTGCCAGGTTATCTTCCCCTAAACGAAAATCAACTTAGTCTTTAATAATATACCATCTATAACATTGCATCTCGAAATCGATTGCTTACGCATCAACCTAGCAGCTCGATAGTGTTTTAGGACGAACACTTTTACCTAAATAAATAAATAAATAAATAAATAAATAAATAAATAAAAGACCATTAAAGTTTCGACAATAGAATGTATGGACGTTCAGTAAAACATTAGACATGCCATGGGAAGTATGTCCGATCCTTCTGGCTCATGTGCCACCAAAAAGAATATAGCCAGAAACCGCGCACTCAGCTGATAACAACTACAATAACGTATGAGGCGTGACGAAAATGCGTGTCGTACTTGATAACAGGGATCCTCATTAGCGTTACAAATCAGAGAATATTCATGTTAACGTTACGAAAATTTAGGTAACTATCGCGAGAAACTTCATTGACATTATAATCATCTATTCAAACTACTGCTCACCTGTATCATCAGTGCCAATTCTTTAAAATTGCCTACAGGTATCATATTGTCATAGACCTTTTTACGCGCTAATTTTAATACTGATTTAGCAGCAGCAAGCCTTAATCGACTCTGGAATGTTGGGCTTTATCGGAAAATATCCAAAGTACCATACGACTACATTAACCCATTTGATGTGAACAATAAATACCGTTCAAATTAAAACTTTACCTTGTTGATTTGTCAGGAAGAAATTCACCGCCTTCTCTTATTAAAGTCCATAATAACTTAAATACCGGTTTCGCTAGATCTTCCGCCGCCTCATCTTCAGGACGTGCGATGAGCCGATTAACGAGTATTTTTAAACCAAGCACCTACATTTACCAACCACACATTAAAGAACGCTAAATATCACTATTATTTATGGGCGCCAAAATACCTTAGCTTTGCATTCATCGTCAAGTTCTTCATCCTTTACCCATTCTGGCTCATTAGGGGTAGCCTATTAAAAAAGTCATCCTTAATTTAGTTATCCTACTTCTAGTTCCGTTCAATGCACATTCCAATTGCCTACCTCATGCCGATTCTTTAATATCAATTCATTAAGTATGAAATTTGTAACTTCGTCACTCCTATCTTCGTATGATTGAACGGAGCAGAGTGCAACTTGGCTTAATACGGATAGGTGAGCAAGTAGATGATAGGAATGGATCGAGAGTGCTGGAAGAATTTTCTGTGCATATGGACAACACACATCAGCCAATTTACAAGCGTCAAAAAGAAAAATGTAATAATTATTAATAATTTGCCTGTAGCAATTCTCCGGAGATTTCATGTTTATCTCTCATATGTCCCATTATCATAGAGGCACGCTTCGCTTGTATTGGTGTGCCTTCCATTGCGTATTTAAATAGTCGCTCTTTGCAATGACTTTATAAATAGATATTGTGTTATAAGCCGTCGAGTATACACGTATATAGTTTACAACAATCGCTTACATGTCTTGGGGGGTTTCATCGGGGTATATTTTAGAAAATTTGGCCAATGCTTCCAGCGTATTCTCAACTAATGATCGTCACCGTGTCAATAAGAATTGAGTGTAATACACCTAATATCATTAGTTAGCAAGCATACCCGATATATCGTTTAGATCTTCAGATAGTAAACGCGTCAACTCATCAATATGAGCGCGATAAAGTGCAGGAAATCGTGATGAAATATCCTAATTGAACCAAAGACATCATTAATCATCTTTTCAAATAAAAGACCACAACAGCAATGTACGATGAGTAACCTTAAGCAGTTCCTGTGTAGTTGATACAATGTCCTTTGACCAGCTCGTTGATGGCGACAAATCCCTCAACTTGTGTAATAATAGAGGAACAATATCGCCATTAAATATGGTCAAACTTACTCGTCGTATGAGAATAGAGAACGTCTCTAGAGCTGATGCGGCTGATTGTTCTATATACTTGAACACATCTTTCTATGATATTGTGTATTAAGGACTGGTTATACAAACATGTATATACAGCGAGTCATTATTAATGGTAAAAATCTATTACAAACTTCGGCTTTCTTGACAGTTTTATAATCAGACTCCGGGCTCATTAGATCTCGCAATAATTTGTACAATCTGATATCGTTCAGTTTAGCTACATTAGACAAATGATTGATCGATTTCGGCGGATCAGGAAGTTTGCCTATGATGATTTTATCAAGAGAAGATCAGTTATCTCTAATCAACGAGTATAAGATTCACGACCGGTGCATACCTGCTATTCGTTTTACCACTTGAGCAAGGAGGACGGCCACCTTTTCTTCTTCCTTGCCATCTCCACCCTAATACCAGCAAGCTGTTGACATGCGGCTAGATGACTGAATTATTTAACAGGACATTATGCAAAGTATACCTTATATTTTTCGCACATTCTTAAGTATATATCCATTTCGTTCATGGCACTATTTCAGCGTTGCATATTGTTAATGGAATTGCTGACAGGTTGTTTTAGAATAAACTGCAGAAAGAGCGCACGAGTCAGGTACGTACTCCCTTTGTCGTTGAAATAAAGAAAAGAAGGCTTTCTTAGCCTTCCCATCTAAGCTCTGAAGTACAATTAGCATGCGCTCTACACGAGCAGAGACATCAGAATTATGCGGAAGAATCTGTTCGTGCAAGACCTTTTCTACACAAGCTCTAAATAAGCAAATAGTCAGACATGATGTTCATAGACATGGACAAAATCCAATTACTTCACTTACATAATTTCGTTATCGTTTGTATATAATGTATTTAGTATCTCTTTTGGTATCCAGTCAAACTTCTCCATGACCTTTTCCTCAGAGCCAGCTCTGTATATAAATATGAGTTAGTATTAATAGATCCAATATATAGAAGCAAACAAAACAAAACCTACATTTCAATAAATGCCAGATTATACAGTCGGGCGAGAGAATTTATTGCTTCTTGTCTAACGCCTTGCTGTGTTCGACAATATAGGGTTTGATTGGACGCAATATACTCATAAATCAATTTCAGTCATCACAGCTTTTCAAAAGATGTGAGAGTCATTATACCAAAATTGAGCTCTGAGTTCCTCATCGTCTAACCTTACCTTTCTATCACGACAACGGCTTCCCAATACTTCAAGTAGTTCTTTATCCGCAAGTTTTAAAGCACTTTCATAATCTATTTGACTGAATATCTTACAAAACGCAATTCGTACTTTCTCATCTGGATCAGACATCTTGGAACGGATTGCGTCTTATAAGAAGAAAAAAGGTAAATTGCTGACCAATGTATTATAAGACGTTGTTGCAAATAATATAATACCATTAATTTGCTTCGCAAGTTCAGGATGATTTTGATATAAGGCTAGACAGTGATCAGCCCATGCAATACGCACAGCAGCTACTTTGTCATTTCGTCTATTATTTCAAGTTTAGGATTTAAATCATCATGCTGAAAATGTTCAAATCTCTCAGAATAAACTGGACGACAGACCTTGATAACCACGTTTTCCATAGACTATCATAGTCTATCGCAAGAGTTGAGCCTTTCTCGGCAAACATTTCGCCAAGAACTTGCGTCGCAACCAGACGTAAATTGAGATCGTCAAGCTATGATAAATTAATATATGAAAAATTTGATTGACTAAACCTCATAAAATTTTGTCGACTTACTTTTAATTCCTCCTCTAATTGTGGAATTACATTCGATAGCAGCTTTGGCACAGATCGATTAAGTCCTTTGATCAAATCATGTGCACTCTTAAAGCTATTTAAGTCTTCTTGCGACGCCCCGCTCTTTTCCGCAGCAGACACTATAACGTGTGTAAAATACTGCGAACGGGACATAAAATCACTATTAAACCTTTTAATATCAACAGCGGTTATGCGTAATCGATCGACTTACTTGAGATACACATCTCTGTAACTTGTCAATAGCACTGTTACATAAATCATATGCCAATTTATATGCAGCAGGATTCTCGTCCTACAAAAATAAGGGTTTTTACTTGTGAAAATGGAATGGCTAATTAATAACACATCAGTATAGCATTTACTAATGACACAGACCTTTCGTTCATCAAACTGAGACAGAATGACTTTGAATGCATTTTTCGGAAGAGATGAACTCTCCTCAGTCAATTGGTACAATATCTCTAACATATACTTGTGTACATTCTTAGGCATTTCTGGCCTTTTATCAATTAAAGTTAATTAAACATTGCAATAGATAGGACCACCAGGGTTAACGAAATACGGCTTACCTGATTACATCAAAGAAATCGTGAAATAATTGATTCATCAATTCGTCACTATCTTGGAGATCTATTATGAGAAGCACTATCTTTACTGTAGATAAGGTTTCAAGAAGATGAAAAATGGTGTCGAAATAGGGTCCTGACGTGTCACTTATATTCTGAAGCTGACGGACAAAAAAATCAAAGACGTCCTAAATCATATAACCAGAAATAGAGAAGAGTCTACACAGTCAGACATATGAAGACAACATATAAACTCTTTACAGACAGGCGTAAACTGCATACCCGCAACTCTCCGTCGGTATAGGGAGCATCAGGAGCATGAAGCCGCAGTACATCTGCTAAACAAGCTGCAACATATGCCTTGACGCTTTTATCTTTATGTCCAGTTAGCGATTCGTTGATCAACTCTTTGGTTACACTTGCAAGTGAATCCGTATCGACCTCCTCTTGATCGATCTTCTTTAATTCTTCATGTAATGTCTATTATAGTTGAAAGTCCCATTAGCTACCTAATATGTATCCCATGTGCCAAACTTATGCATCCAACCTTCAAGCGTTTGACCAACTCGGTTGTTGCTATTTGTTTCGACATTCCCGAAACAAGTTTCTGTTTAAAACGAAGTCGAACACCGCGTGATGTTGAAGCACCTTTAGTCGCTACCATTTTACATTAAACGGATATTAGACGAAATACGCGCGTTTTTGCAAATTGAATACTCGCGTGTGACCATACACCTATTTATTTCGCTTGGGGGATGTTCAACAACATGATATGCAACTACAAAGTGACTTGTGACATCACGTGCAATTGAACTGCGGTGTACTGTTTTCAGATGCTACCACTTTTATCTTCCGTTAAATGAGTTGGCCATATCTACAATCAGCATAAAGAATCGTATGTAATGGATCTTTGTGATATTTCTAATCCGTTGTGTTGATAAGTGCCGTAAAAGTATAAAAGTCGGAGATTCCTCAGCAAAAGCAACAAAACCGACAAACTATAAATCGATCAAGAAATACATAATCCTCTTAACAATGGAAGAAGAAAAGCAAACTTGCATTCGTTGCCGTACTACAAAGGAAATCTCCCATTTTCAAATCGCAGGTGGAAAACTAAGAAAAACTTGCGCTAAATGCCGTGAGGGACAATAAATTCGGAAGATCTGCGCTAAAACAAAAGATCAAAGACTTCTTGGAAAATAACGCTCGAAACATTCGATTAGAATGCCTGATTAAAGCGGAAGAGTTTGAAGGAAAGGAACATGAGTACATAGCAAAAAGCGTTGCAAGATTTATTCAAGACTGCGACGGATATGTCTACAAGTACGTGACAGTTTTATGTTGCCTTGTAATTCTAACATACCTTTCTTGTTAGCTTTCATAATAAATATACACAATCTTCAAGTAAAGACACTGCTGCTTTTCGTTTTTACTGCTCTCAATCTGAAGTCTTACTAAAAAATCCACATTTGACGCCTACGCCTCGTTGAACTATCCAGACCTTACCCAAAAGCAAGTTCATTATTGGTGGACTCAACAAATTCAAGAGATATACAAAAAGAACGACAATCAATTAATCTCAGCTAAAATTCTCTTAGAAGAGGCTCATCTTAACGTTTTGATGTACCGTTATGAGTCTGATGCTAAGTGTATTGGATTTTAATCCTGAAATAATTTGTGATGCTACATGTATCATAATAATTTGAACGCCGCTAATACATTATCCATAAAACAAATTCATTAGGTTTTGAACTTTATGCTATCGTCGGGCAAATTAATGGAGCTGGCTACCCAATGGAAATTTATTTCTTGGTATCTCGGACATCAGCATTTACTTAATTTTTCAGCGCATTACATCTCAACGGTTTGCAATCAGAGTTTTTCCTGACGGATAAGGGTTGGGCGCAAATTAACGCTGCACGACAAACTTGGCCAACTCAGCTGTGTTATTGGCATTTGCGGAGAGCTGTGAAAAAAAAAGGCTTACTGACAGCTCAGTCAACACAAATATTTATGATGCCGAATACGCTAACCGAGAAATAAATTTTATCGATGTAAACTTTCATCCATTTCCAAGAGACCAAAGTACAGGCATTCGTTCAAGTCAGAATTGTGATGAACGCTTTTGTCCAAGGGAGCTTTGCGAAACAATTTTAGAAATAATATCATATCATTTTCATCTCCACCCATTACTACCGAATGACAACAATCAATATTTGACATTTGGCTTCTATCTGTCGGGTTTTGTGTTACAAACGATGTATGTGGACGAAAAACGGCATTGGATGCTATGGGCCCGAGCAGACAGAATAGGTCTGTTTAAAACCACCACGTTAATCGAAGCACATTGGAAAGTAATAAAGAGAGACTAGTGAATTATCAAACGTATTCATTTTAATTCTAAACATAATAAAGACGAATTGACAAGCATACGTATATCAATCATGTCTAATTTTATTTTTTGTAATATAAAATAAAACTAAAACGGGCAAATTGTCCCTATTCCGTCATGAATATTCTCGTCGATTACCATCAATAACAAAATCACGTACAATATTCATTCCATTTGCTATAATTAGCAATGTGTCGGATCGCCACACGTGGGAGAGCGTTCGTGTAACGACCTTGGGATTTAGTCGTCTTCCGGCGGAACTCTT